CTATCTGTGTTTCATTGACTATGCAAAGGCATTTGACTGTGTAGATCATAACAAACTGTGGCTGACTCTGAGAAGAATGGGAATCCAAGAAAATGGGAATTCCGAGAAAATGAGAACTGAGGCACAAATGGAGATTTGTACACCAATGTTCATAGTAGCATTATTCACCATCGCAAGAGCATGGACACAGCTCAAATGTCCAATCACAAATGAACGGATTGAGAAATTATGGTACATTTTCACAATGGAATATTATGCAGCACATGGGAGCAATGACTTTGTAAATTATTACCTAATTTGGGAGGGACTGGAGAGCATTATGCTGAGTGAACTAACTCAGTCCCACAAGGATAAGTATTGTATAAAACCATTATTGTAGAAAGAGTATAAGGATACAAGAGGGGTGGGAGAGATTGGAAGCAGAGGGATGAGAATGTGCAGGGGGAAGGAGCCTTAATCATGGGGTTGTGCAATTTGTTGGGTGGAGGGATGAGGGGAAAAACACATTTTCTTGATTAGTGTCACATTGGGACCCAAAATATTTTGCTTAAGCATTCTGATTTTAGAGTATAAATAACATAGATGTAGACGTGGGACTTACCCCTGTCTGTGTCGTACAGGAAGACAAAACAGTTCCATTCATAGTGATCCAGTAGACTCAACAGCGCCCCCCGTAAGGAGGGCCTTAACTGCAGCACAAACTGGCTCTCCCCCTCCGTAGGAAAACTTGGTGTAATGAGGGAGATGTGTAAGGCGCTGCAGAATGAGGTCAACGTGTGTACCGACCTCTTATCATAGAGTCCAAAAATGGCAAAAACTCCTCTAGAATACTGGGAACAGACTGAAAATGAGAAAAAGACAGAAAAGAAAAGATAAATTATCAGCATGCTCTAAAATGCCATTTCAATAAAAGTCTACACTCTTTGTAATTAAAAAAAATTAATGAAACTGCTGGCAGGATAAATTACATTTAGCTACAGCTTTATCTAGCCTCCTCCTTTACTCAATGCTGCTTTTCATCCGTTGCGCTCAGCTCTCAACACATTGAAACTTTTGCTCTGTGCTACAACACATTACTACAGTATATGATTGATCAATGAATCCTTGGCCACTACTCAAAATGTCCACGTGGAGTGAGGTACCAAAGTGCTATATTATTTCTCTCTCACGAAGTCAGATTGAAAAAGGGAAAACTTGAGTAAAAGAAAGTAATATATGGTACTATATGATGATGTGACAAAAAACAAAACAAAACATGATTTGATGGGGAAAAAAGAAACCTTGGGTGACTTGTTGAGTGCCATCCAGATACTCAGAATTGACCCATAACTGACCCTTTAGCAGGTTTTGAGAGGCAGTAAATGAATACCCACCCTTTACCTGTGGAGCAGCTGGTAGATTCTAACAATCTAGGATTGAGGGGCAGGTTCTTACCACTAGTCTACATTATAAAGAGTACGAAATTTCAATGGGGACTATTTTTTTTTTATTATTCACCCGTACAAAAGGCAAGATTAAATTTCAAGGATAAAGGTCCAACTTCTTGCTGGTTTATATTAGCTGAGTCCAAGAAGTCGATAGATCTTTAAAATATTTTTCTTTCTGATTTTAGTTACTCATTTGTATTGCTAAATTCATTAACAAGCTTGTGGTATTAGGTAATCTAGACGTATTAATCCTAGGAGTAGTTCATTATGATACAAGGAAATTAGATTTTCCTGTGTTAAAGCAACAATAGGCCCTTGGAAAAATTACTTATCTTAATAAAATTTATCTTGGTATTCTAGGATGTTAGGAAACTAAGGAGTAAAATGAAGCCAGATAATTTAATAGAATCTATAAGTGTTTCTTCCTGTTTATTGAGACTCTTGAAAAGAGGGATAGACTTTAAACAATGCAGTTTTTTTTTTAAAAGAAGAAGGTAAATTTAACAGAAAATGAGTGATTTTTATCTTAAATAACATTTTTAGAGGAGTACAAGTTCTGGAAAAATTAAAACCCAACTTAAAAGAAATCAGGGTATCTACAAAAAATGGATACACAAAGGATAGCCTCAGCATTGAGATTATAGTGTAAAGGCTGAAAGCTGTACGGAAATGTTCAAATCCTAAGGTTTTAACTTATTGTCTAGGTGATCTGGGATAGATTACTTAATTTCATTTGCTTCAAATATGAATATATAATGTAGTATGGATTAAATGAAATAATACCCAGAGAACTGTCACTTTATGTGTATATAGGAAGGAATCAGTCATGGTATTTTATTAACAGAAATTGTATATATGCTTCCATTGTTGTTGTTGTTAAGTGCCGTAGAGTCATAGGCAACTCATAGTGACCCTATGAATGAAAGTCTTCAACATTTGTGTGACTTTCATCATTTCTCCAGGTTCATAGGGTTTCTGGAGGCAAGCTATTACAGAAGTGGATGCCATTCCTGCTTCCAAGCTTGTTTTAATGAGGGAGCTCCACCAAACACTGTCTGCCATGGGTAACCATTAGCGCATTTGACACATCAGTGTCACAGTGTTCAGCTGCACAGCAACCAGAGATTACCTCTGTACAGTATCTACACCAGGGCTATACGACCTAGAAGAATGTTTGAACAAAAACAGTAAAAAACAGGCCTGAGTACTGCGAATTAAAAGTCACACACCTTTGGCTTGGTAGCATCACTTTCAGTCCACTAGGCCGACTGAAAGCTCATACATTCTGCATATTTTAAAAATTAACAATTAAAAAGCTGAACTTGAAAAAAGTTGCAAATAAAGATACCATTTGACCCAGCAATTCCACTACTGGGAATATATGCTAAAGAGACCATAAATGACATCCAAGTAGATATATGTATACCCATATTTATCGCGGCTTTGTTTACAATAGCAAGGAGTTGGAAACAACCTAAATGCCCATCAACAAACGAATGGGTAGAGAAGCTGTGGTATATTCGCAC